TCAATCAGCAGACATCAGTGTTTACGTTAAAGTGCACTGCCATTTGACAAACTGTTAAATTATAATACGTTAAAGTGTATAAACTATGGTTGACATTCCTGTGTGAGCTACAGGAAATAGCCAGAGTTGCTGAGGCTTGTTTGGGGAGTACTGCTAAGTAGACGTAGTTTTGTGGGTCCATTTTTGCCTTCTTTTTGAACCGTTGTTTTTCCTCTGTTTTGCTCCTGTTTACATATTTTGTGTTTCACTTTTTGGCATTTACACTGATAAGTACCTTAAACTGCCCAGGATGTTGACCTTTGATGTTACTGCCGATCGTCGTAATAGCTGCTGTTGAGATTATGCTCCCATTAACCCAAAAGTCACCACAAGGTGTCCCACTTAAGACAGTATTTCTGTAGACAGGATAATAGAGTGGTCTTCATATATATTAGGATCATCACACGCATGTACGTATCCATGTAATGTTCAGGTGAAATACTAATTCCTGTTTATTCTGTACTCAGCAGAATTTGTGCAGGAGGACTTTTGTGTTTCTGCGTTTTGCTGTTTGAGGTGGTCTGCTGCTCGGAGTCATATCAGGAATGTCTGTAGCTGTTAGTTTGTGCTTCGTTTTGAACCCGGAGCTGCTCCGAAGGCTGAACAAGGATACGAGTCTTGCCGCGCGATGCCTACTGCTTTCAAAATATGCACCTCCCTGGCAGTTAACCAAACCGCATGGTTTCATCGCCCTCTATTTGTTTGGCGAATGTTGTCGCTCAAGGACACCTGCTTGAACTTTTACCTTGTCATCCATGTTTACCAGAGCTGTCTGTGTTGCACTGAATTCTGCTTAAATGTGACAGGGTTTTAAAGCCACTAGGTCCTTAGCCACGCTAGCATCATGCTTCTAGTATATTTATAGAGAAAACACCCTGCTTTTTGTAGGAGTCGCTACAGTTTTGTAGAGAATGTCATCTCCAATGAATCCTAATGTTTGGTTGATTTAGAGCACTTCAGATCATGATGTGATACTCAAAACAGTAAAACTAAATGTCTGACTCAGGCTCAGCTACAGTTTTCAAACTCCAAACACAACCTGAGAAATGTTAGCATGATGCTAATTCTATATATACTTTTGTTTATAGAGAATTAGCATAATTAACATGGCAGGAACAACATGCCAACATCCCCACTTGGAGCTGGATACAGCTGCAGTGGGTGTCATGGCTGCATCAGATACACATATTTTCAAATAAAATTTAATAATATGAAACATGAATTAGACTGCTGATTCCACCAGCTTTTCTGTAACTTTAGCTCAATCTTACCAAACGTATAAAATTGGTTATTTTGAGCTAGAAGTCACCATATTTGTATGAGCGGGTGAAGTGCCACATTTTTTAGCTTGATTACCAAGTTCTGTGTGTAAAGACTGTTACATTTAATCATTAATTATTATTATTATTATTACACCTAGCTGCTCGCTGCAGGTTTCTTCCTGTTAAAAGGGAGTTTTTCCTTCCCACTGTTGTCGCGCTTGCTCATAGGGGGTCGACTCAGTTTTCTCTGTACACTTTAGGATCTTTACTGTTGAATCTATAGTGCTTTGCTTTGAAGCGACTGCTATCTAGATTTGGTTCTACATAAATAAAATTGAATTAAATTATTAATTGAATATGAGCGCAACATGCATAAAACAGCCCTTATTATGACATGCTTTTTAAAAATTTACAGTTTTTTATTTACAAATTTTAAAAATATAATTAAGTTATAAAAAGTGAAGCACAACCTTCTTGGATGGAGTGTAGCAGCAAGCTAAGTTATATGTAAGATAACTGCAGTGAAAAGATTACATGCTCAGTGTAACTACATTTTCCATCGCATTAATCCGATTATCTGAGGTGAACTCTAGAAGACAGCGATTGTTTACAGCCGTCTGTGTTGACATCCACCTGTTACAGCGCTAACAAAGCAAACTATAAGCCTTAATAAAACTCACCCGCTGCAAAGCTGTTATGAAACCCTCAACTGAGGCGATACCATTTTTTCTATCAAGCTGTGAACGTGTTTTCTTCTGCGGTAAAGCTGGACACTCGAACACCGCACTCTCGTTTGAATAGAGCCTCAAGTGGTCATTCAAGGAACTGCACTCTCTGTGATGCTAGCGCGGCTAATGAACTTGTTTGTGAGATATGACTGTGACATTTATGGTTGTTTTGAATTCTGCCAAGTCATAGCTTATAGTTTATTATTTATGAAGACACAGAACAGTATTTATTTAGAGTTTAAGGCAAATTGTGTGAAGCTGTGCAGCTGTCCCTCACTGGGATTAGATTACTAGAGCTCAGCTTTTGCATTTGAAATTCAATTGTTACATTTCACTGTGTTGTGTGTACAAAAATGCTGTTGATATTACTTCGTTATTGCATATTTGAATATAGCTATTTCTTTTTGACATGGGTAAAATTATAATAATTATAAAGAGTGAGAGACATCTGCAGAAAACACAAAAATCACATAAAGTTTTATTATAAGATGACTCCATTAGAAAAACTTAAATGTCCTCTGCTAAACACAGAAACACCATCTGGGGGGGAAAAAAGCTTTTATCAAACAATCATGTCAAACAAAGCTGTTTACAAAAAGAATAGTAGCGAGGGTTTGATGGGTTACTACTACTACAGGTGAGAGAAACTCATTTTGATTGAAATGAATGTAATGAAGCGATCTTTTGAATTTGATGACATTCCCATAAATATTTTCATATATAAACCAACTGTGTTTGTGTCTTTATTCACTTTTATATAGACATCTGAAAAGCAGCAGCCATGATCTCTGGTCAAAGATTACAACAGCAGCTACATACACGCTAACAAACATGACACATGATGTTTGAATTCGTTAATCATTCACCAGTTTTGCAAACACTGATAAAGAGACCGTTTGAAACAGCAGCTACAACACTTACACTGTGTTTTGTGCTGACCTTTATTCACGTAATATTCAACTTGGATCCTTTTAATCATCAAATCATTATTTAAAAAGGAAACATTGGGTGTCATTTTTAAGGTTCTGATCTAAAGGGAGAGGATCCCAAAGTCTTTAAGAAAAACAAAACTGATGGTCTCCACCAAGGCCAAGATCAAGTATTAATGCAAGTGTTAATCACACATCATCCAAGACTAAACAAAACTGTAATAATAATAATAAT